CCTAGATGGTCTTCACCAAAGCCAGGTGTTTTTCATCATGTTTACCTTTCAGTCCCACATAACAGGAAAGTCTAAGTACCAGATTAATAAAATCCCAGGGTCTTTTGCTGTGATATTTCTGTTTTGGCAGGAACACAGACTTCCCTGAGAACCTAATATTAGTTTCTTTCTATGTGATACCTTGGGGTTTGTGACTTTAACTCAGTGAAGTATCAGAATGATTCACTCTGCATTCTGTACTCTCATCATGGATATGCAAATTCCTGCACAGCAGGCCAGACACTGGAGAAAGTAGGTGCTTTGGTACAAGGTTTTCAACCTGAGTTCTAGCCTGAGGAGTTAGATGGGCAGCCAAATCTCTGCATCCTTTGAAGTTCATCCTGAGTCTAACTAATAATGAATTCAGGAAAAGTTCATGTCCTGAGTGAGTTTCTAGTAATTGAGGGACAGCCATGAGTTCCAGTAAGTGTCGAATTAATTACTTCAAAACAAAGCAGAGTCAACATTAGAGAAAGCTTGATTTTCACATGAAAACCTACCTCCCCTACCCTCCCTCCACCATTTTACTGTGTGAGAAGGAAAAACAACACAATACGTTTGCAGCCTGCAGGGGTTTACTGCCCATTGCCACTTCTGCAGCTTCAGGCTTACTTCTCAAGACAATGTTTTGAGCAATATGGGAACTACTGATGTCAGTGGAGAAGGAGAGAGCTTCCTGGCATGCTGCTGGTGAACTTCAAAGCACCTAAGGACAAATGTTATCTGCTGTCCCCCAGTTTTTTGTGTGTAGGTGTTCTTGTAGAAACGCTGCTAGTAATGGTTGCTGCATAGTGCTTGCACAGGTTTGGTAGATAAAATATAGACTGGTAATATGAGACAGCTGTGAGCCTCATTTTTCAAGCTGCACATGGGCATGAGTGACCCAGTTGTTATTAAGCAAAAGAATACAAGAGAAAAGGAAACTTTCTTCTTATCTGAGACAAACTATCAGGCTTTCTTGACCTGCCCTCCTTGCCTTCTTAAGTGAGTTAGCACCCTGTGAGTTGGAAGGCAAGACAGCAGAGCACTTGTTGCCAGTGAAAACTGTGCTGACAAGATAGGCTGAAACCAGAGTGATGTGATTTCCTCTGGGGGTGAATGAGAGTGAAGTCAAGCTGGAGAAGAGGGAACCAGAGTATTGCATTATTCCTCTAAGGGTTGTGTTGCCCCTGTGCTGCACTTTATCATTAGCTGAATTGCTGAAGCATCCTGTCAAATCAGCCTCCTGCATAGATTTTTAAAACCTCTAATTGGCACCTGCATGGCACCCGCACAGCTACATGTTACCAGTGCATCTCCATTTGCCCTGCACAGCCTTTCACAGCTGTGTCCCCCAGTTTCAAGGCACAGTCAGTAACCTACCATGGCATGAGAAAAACACTGGCTGTAGTTGGGACCTCGTGGTGTGACTTGGCGTTTGTGCGACAGAAAAGATTTGCTGTATTCCTTTATCTTTTAACCATTAAGCAAATGTTTCTCCATGTTTCCTGTTTATCACAAAGTCTGAGCCTGCCTAGACAGGCTATTCTGAGCTTGCCCTGCTTTCTGATAATTGCATGTGCATTAAAGCAAACACCCCTGCAGGGTGTTTCTCCATTCCCCTGTCCTTGCCGGCTCAGAGCTGGACAGCATTTCGTGGCTTGCAAGCACAGGGCTGTGCAAAAAAAAAGGCATGCCAAGCCTGGCAAAGCTCTGGGGAAGAAGGCAAAGCTGCATGCTATTTCAGGCCTCTCTTATTTTGCCAGTGAGTTCAGATACCTCTCCTTTCCTAACGACACGATGGCTGCTGGGTCCTCCTGAGCCATGCATCAGTGACATCACTATTGAGACCTACAGTCTGTGTCCAACCTGCATCAATTAGTTGCTTCTCTGTGAGGATGTAAAAAATGAGCAGAATCCAGGGGAGTCACCCATCAGTAATGACTGCAGGAGTGATTTTGAGAAGGTGGTCTGTTGCGTGTTTCTGTGAACTATTGTTTTTCTTTTGCAGGGAAAAGAGGCAGGACACTGCTATAAGATTTTTGAGGATTATCTTTATCAGATTGCTGTTTAGAGAGCTGGGAATCTCTAGATCTTCAAGTAATACAACCATTAGTGTCTTGTGCCTCTACCCTTGACAAAGTCCTGGACTACAAGAAGTACAGTAATGACACTCTTCCTCTATAAATGCTCTTTCACTGAAGGATTATATAAAGTCTTACTTGAGATGAGTAGATTAGTTTTGTCCTTGGTTTACAGATAGAACAGGCTGTGGAAAGCTGACTGCTGCCTGCACTGGAGTGATGCACCACACCACTCCCTGAATACATTGCAGTGAAATGCTGCCAGGCACATTAAGATAACTACTTTCTACATACCTGAGGTTGAAATGAAGACCTCCAAAACTGTATTCCCACTCGCGATTTAGTTCCAGGAAGTGAAAAATGTGCACAGAACCTTCCACACTCACACACTTAAAATTATGAAAGTAAAGTAACTCAGGTTGTTTCTTTTTAATTGGTTTCTAGAGTAAATCTGTAGGTAGTAAGTAGGTATTTCTTTTCTGGTCTGGTTGTCTCTTATTGATCATAGGCTGTTCAGTTCTGTAGCTGAATCTCCTCCTCCAAGTGGTAGTTGTAAGTCACTGCCTCTTCTCATGCTTAGGGCAGTAACCAAGCAGGACCCTGACTGAAGGCTGCTATCCATCACCCACTTGGTCTGAAATTGGTCAGTTGCCACTGAACCAGTCAAGAGGTTTTTCAGAAGTAAATCACCAGTGGAGTTAGACAGCCCACAGCAGGGAGTTTTTCTTTCAGAGGCAGGATATTCTCTGGGAGGGAGAACTGCGTTGGATGATCCTTGCTGTAGCTAATGAAATGGTCACATTTCTCTGTTAAGTGCCTGATCTTCCCCATTCAAAGGGAACTTTGTTGGAGTTCCAGTTTCTGATCAGCTGCAGTATGTGTTGCTGATGGTGAGCCTCTGTTCTACTGGAAGAGTGTTATGGGAGTGGGTGCTTCTTCTGTTTCATTTTTCCTTCTTTTTGAAGCAAATCCAACTTTTAGCAGTTATAGAGCTGAACAAGCCCTCTGCAAATATCAGTGCATATCTTGTAAGAGAAAAGAGTAACAGGTCTTTTTGAAGAGGAGACAAAAATGGAATAAAGTAGCTACCCCCTGGGTTTCTGGTGGAATAGCTCTACAGTTGAAATCTACCCAACTTTTGTTTCCTATTTGTATAAGTGGCTTTCATCAAAGTGCTGGTCATGAGTAAGTTAACGCCTACAGAGCTGTCACCATCAAGTACTGTGTATCACTGAATTCACAGCAGTTCTGACAGTGCTGAACTGCATACATACATGTTTAAATGCATTCCCCACTTCTCTGAAGGAGCTATTTCCAGAGATCCCAAGTGTGGAAGTAGCTCTCAGATGACTTTTGACTCTGCAGAGTGTCTTTGAAAGACTGAGATTGGCACATGTACAAATACCCTTTCCTCCATCCTGATATGCAAGGAAGGCCAAGGATGATACAAATACCCTTTCCTCCATCCTGATAAGCAAAGAAGGCCGAGGATGATGTGGTGAAAGAGTTGCTTTTGCTATTTTTATGTCGTGATGTAGAGGAAGAGAGATCTGGGGTGGTAACCAACATGCTGGGAAATCCTCCCCTGCATGGTACTGAAAACTGCCACTTTCTAATTTCCTGCAGAGTATCTTTCTGGCATCCAGATAAAGTTGTCTGTGTTCAGGCTTAACAGTGGATGATCTCTCAGGAAGCTAAAGGACATCAAGAACTAAAGATGTACTGCGACTGGTTCCTAATTACTCATCTGATCGCCACAGGGGAGATAGTAAGGGATGGTTTTGTAGTTTGTTCCTGTTTTGTTTGTTAATATAGCAGCTCCAGGACAATCAGTTATTGGAAGGACTTGAAAAAAACCAACCCTACCTACTTGTCCTTGTTTGCTTTTTTGGGTCTTTTTTCTGCGTTTCGGGATTCCTGGAAATTTTTCATGCCTGACTGTGCAATGCTTAGGCCACATCTTGTTGCAGAGTTTGTTTCATTTATCTGCAGTCTCCAGAGTGCTGCATTAACTCCCTTTGACTTAGCCTAGGTCAAATCAGAGTGGTTACAGTGTGGTTTTGAGCATCACAGAGCAATTTTGCTAGCAGCTGAGGAATTGCACTGACTCCATCTCTAATGAATATCCTTAGCAGTCATGATAGGAATTTTGGGTGAGAACGGGGCTTGCACTAATTACAGGGACTTAGTCACAACTTGTTAACTCAGTGTTGAAGACATGCTCCTAGAAGTAGCCACACTTGGACAGACTGGGAGTTGAGAGAAAGCAGTCTTACGCTTAAGGCTCTGAACACTGCGTCTCCACTAATCTGGTATCATTTCTTGTTGTGCCTTGTACTTCTTATGTCACTTCTTATATTTCTTTCCCTTTCTGTGCCTCAGTTTTGCAGCCACAAAATCACATTGCTGTTTGTCTTCTCCCCTGCATGCATGGCAGGTTCTTCAGGATGGGGATTTTATAATACTAATTGAGTATGCAACACATAGTGCAGCATGGCCACATCTGTGGCTGTGGGAGATCAGGCGAGCCCTACATGACATGGTAGAGTTTCTGTGCTTGGAGAGTATGTCATTGGCTTTGGACTGTGAGGCAGGAACAGCCTTGAATGCTCATATAACTCCCACAGCTAATTTTCTTTGGTAGATTTGGGACTTTTCTTTCAACCTTGAAATTTTGCTGGTTTTCTGTTCTGCAGGGCAGGGACTGCTGAGGCTGAATAAATTGAATTTTTCTTAAATTATAGGAGTGCTAAATGAGATATATTGTTAGAATTTTCCATAACCTCTGCACATAAAGAGGAGTGGAAAATGGATAAATGGGAAGAAAATGTGTGACGATATCTAAAGTATTCTAAGACCAAGCTTCTAATCTTCTGTGTTTCTTTTTGTTTCTTCCAGGTGGAGCGGGAAATAGCCATCCTGAAGTTGATAGAACATCCCCACGTTTTAAAGCTGCATGATGTTTACGAAAATAAAAAATATTTGTAGGTATTACTGGCTTTTGCCAGAGAAAGGGGAAGGGAAGGAGGAAGGAAGGGAGGGAAATCAGGGTTTTGGAACTTGATATTGTTTCTGAAAGCATGGAACAGGTGTGTTTTCACCCTCTGTTGGTGTCTGCGTGATATTTGGTACTTGGATGAGGAATGAACACACATTTTTTTCCCTGGCTTTTCTCATTTTCTTCTCTGTACTTTCATAGAATCACAGAATTGTTAAGGTTGGAAAAATTCGCTAGTATCATTAGCCAACCTAGTGCCACATTAACCTAGTGTCACCATGTTCACCACTCAACTGTGTCCCCCAGGTGCCACATTCATACATTTTTTTAACACTTCCAGGGATGGGGATTGCACCACTCTCCTGGACAACCTGTTTCAATGCCTGACCACCCTTTCAATGAAGAATTTTTTCCTAATATCCAACCTAAACCTTCCCTGGCTCAACTTGAGGCCATTTCCTCTCATCCTGTCACTCATTAACAGAACGAGACTGACTCCCACTCATTACTCCCACCCTCCTTTCCCTTTCAGGTAGCTGTAGAGAGTGATAAAGTCCCTTCTGAGCCTCCATTTCTCCAGACTAAACACCCCCAGATCCCTCAGCCA